CACTGGTGAAACGCAGTGTGACCTTTCACAGCCTCCTCTGCCAAACAATTGCATTTGTGTTGGTCCCTTGAGCAATTTCTTGAGAAAGGCTTCATGGAGGTTTCACATGGGTAGCTGATGGCTCCAGCTGGATAAGGAGATTAGGGAGTGAGTTTGGCATAGTGATAACAACGTGTAAAAATGAAACAGGATGCCATAGAAGTATTAGATAAGATAATTCCAGTTATCGGCTGTAAAGAATGTTCTGCTTGCTTCTGATTGCTCATATCTTCTATTTATATCAGTTTCCTTCTGCTTGTCTTTGTGCACGTTTCCCCGTGTAGCAGGTCTGACCCAACCAACCGCAAAGAAAGATAACACTGATAACTATAAAGTGAGGAGGGGGGGGAACTCACTTCAGACTTGCCCACTCGGGCTGCCTTTGACTGCAAAGTATTTTCCAGATGGACTACTTAGTACTAGGGGTTTGATCTCTCATACCTGCAGCCTGAAGGATTTCTGCTGGGTATAATGAAAAGCCAGCTGCTGCAGATGCAAGTTCTCCATCAGATGGGAAATAACGAGGGCCTGAAGCTCTACAGGCTGGCGAGAGTGGAGGGACGATTTTGCAGTGAAGGCAAAGGATGAGCTCTCAGTTTGGGCTTCCTACGGGAAGGTTGTGCATGTCAGGCTACAGATCAGCAGAGACTTGCTTCCCTGGGCTCTGTGCTGCCTGGATGTAAACCACTTCTAGCCACTGCTTAGGGCATATTGGTCTCAACCTCAGCACTGCACCCATGCTTTCTTACAGCTAGAGCTGGCATCTGGCTATCTTAAAGCTGAGCTTGGCCACCTATACACTCTCTGTGTGAGCCCACACAGATGTATCCTCAGGTGAACATACTCGCACTCTGGCAAATGACTGTGTGCTGCCGGAGAAGGATAGCTGTGCCCTGCTGCATGCTGCACCCTGCTCCACGCATGGCTGGGGAAGTCTTCTGGGGTAGAGGCATTACAGATGATGCTCCTGCATCCTCGTGCTTTGCAGGCACGGCCAGAGAAGGCATGCTTTAGGTTTGGGGGGCTGCAGCAGTCACAGAGTTGCCCAGAGTCTGGGCAACCCAGACAGGTTTCCAGGGCAGGCAGGAAAGGGGAGAAGAGGGAGACCTCATCTGTCTGTGAGTCAGTGGCCACATAACCTAGTGAAAAAAAAAACCAACCTGGATCTTCTTTCCCCAAGGCGTGAGGACTGACTTTCCCCTCCGAGAGGTACGACGCAGAATTTTGTCAGCATGTGTGATGTACTGCAGTTACTTATAAATATTTTATTTGTGTGGCTTTGTAGCACAGAACTTCCAGGTTAGTCTGCAACTGTACAAAGCAGAACCTCTCAAAATACATACAGGAGAGAACCTGCTATATTGGGCTTTGATTTTGCCTGAGACCTTTGTGCATTACCACCACATTGCTGTTAACAATGTAGGGCTTTAATTCAAAATGACATTTCTGTATAATGCCGGCATTTCTATATAATGTGATTTCTTTTATAAAAAAACAAAAGTAGCCAGAGAGCAATATCTGTGCCTGCAGGTATGCTCATTAGGCCAATCAGCAGCAAGGCTACTGACTAGAATAAGCCACAGCTGAAGAAGCCAGGGACTTTAGCTATTGGGGACTGGATAAAAATAAACCTCTGACGGTCTCCCTGGCTATTTTATGTCTCCTGAGCAAAAGACTTTCAAAGTTTGGGCCAAAGAAAGTGCAACACTTGCCTAATGAGTTTAAGATTCTTCAATCTCCCCAACAAGCAGGAAATCGGAAAACGTGAGCTCTGCGTGATGGTAATTATATGACAGGTTTGTTGCTGGTCTTTGGTCTATGGCAAAGATGACGAGCAAGTGAACTAATCACACACTTCTAGGCACTCCTTGGCCAGTGAATGCTCTTTCTGCTATTACCTGAAGTCAGAGATGGGTCCTGTGTCAGCCATCCTGCATGAGTCAGTGGTAATGACAGAGGAAGTGGGAGTTGCGTTTACGAGCCCTGGAGGATGCTTGGCAATGCAGGCTGCAGCTTGGCTCACAGTTTACATCTCAAAAACTGTTATTACATAATCCGGAGCTATACAGAAAGGGATTTCAGAGCCTTTTTCAAGGAGAGGACGCAAAGAGACCTGGCTGACCTGAACTCTTAAGATCTCATGATATGTACTCCTACCTCTCTTGTGATCAGAATGATCCTTTCTAGCCTTAAAAAATCTCATCAACAGAGCATCCCATGAGGGCTAGCTACCCAACCGACGCCTTGTGCAGGGCCACTGGGCTCCATGTGGGCACAAGACCTTCCTCCCTTGCTGGGGGGACTACTACCCCAAAGCTATTTCTCTCCTTGTGCCAGGCCCACTGTTGTTTCTGGGGGGATGCAACAAAACCCAAGCCCCCATGGGGCAGGTGCTGCTGGGGCTGCAGTGGAAAGCTGTGTGCAACGCATTCCCGAAGGCTGCAGCCGGGATCACTGCACTGAACACCAGAGCCAAGCTTGCCTGAGGTGCTGCAAACCCTGGGAGTTTACTTGAGGTGAGGAATTTGTTCCTGACATTTTGATATTTCTCCAGATCTAGGCGTACTGAGAGATATCCCAGCACCCAGACCTGGCCCTGATTAATAGGGTGTAGAAAGGGGACGGGTGAGTGGGTGCCCGTCAGGTAGTATCAGCACTCTTTCTGTAAGCTTGTGAAACAGTTTAGGACAGAAAAAATCTGAGGCCACAAGCGCAGTTTGTAATTTGTATTTTATTGCTTTGTACAAGTGAAAAAATAGGGGAAAAAGGAGAACTACAAGACTGAAAAGTAACGTGAAAGGCCACAGTGGGAGTCCACAACTGCCACTGAAGGGTGATTTGTAGCCTGGGGGCACAGGAAAGCATTAAGGCACAGTGGTTCCCCTCTTGTTTAAATAAATAAGAGCTCAAAATAAAAGTGGAAGCCAACTAATGCTGACAATCACCCTTGTCACAAATAACTACATTGAGGCTATTAAAATAAGGTGACCAGCAAGTGCCTAGACCCAAAATACCTGAAAACATTTGGGGTGGAGGGGGAGCTGCAGGAGGGAGCCCTTTTGACAAGCTTAATGTTCAAAGGTTTTAATGTAATTAAAGGCCATTTTTGATGCAAGTTTAAACATTGTCAGCAATGCTGCACGGGCCTGTCTCTGGAGAACCAGCAAGCAAGAGCATTTGCCCTCTCACAGCAGGAGGGAAATGAAAGTAATAAACAGACTGCACGGTGACATCCCAAAAGAGCAGTGCCAAAGCTGAGAAGTCAACATTTTTCCAAAGCCTGGCTTTGGTTTACATTCCTCTAGAGGAGAAAGTGACTCGGATAATTAAGCTGATGGAGATTTTCCAAGCTGTTCAAGACACTGAAAACATGTATCTTGTCCTCAGCTTAATGGTGGGCACCATATAAATATCTTAAAAAAAACCAAAAAAACAAAAAAACCCTGCATTTTTAATTTTCCTAAGTATTCTGGGAACACAAACATGGCTATGTTAATGAAAGTGCAGTCCTAAAGAAGTACCTATGCATGGAAAGGGGATGTGCTGTGACTTGTATCGCTTGCCCGTCCAAATATGTGGGTAGCTATCTGCCCCCACTCTGCCCTCGCCTTGCCTTTGAAGTGGCTGCTCTGCATGACTTTCTTTCAAGCCTTTCCCACTTCTCTTTCCTCTCCAGTAGCTAAAAATGGGATGCATATCTGCAGAGCAGAAATAAAAACCCCCTTCTGCCCAGACCATTGCTTCTTTGATCCCAAACCAGAAAACAGACTTCAGGTTGACGAGGTTGCTATTCTGAGTAATGCAGTGTCCAGAGGAGCCGTATTTCCCCCTTTTAACACAGATGGCTGATAGCTGCTGCCACAGAAGCCAAGTTTGGCTACCACCTTCTCCCCACGGCTCAGCAGATATGGCCCACCGAAGGAGGGAGCAAGGAGGCCAAGGGCAGGAAAACCTTGCTGGCACGGACCTTGTGTTGGGTACTGCAATAGATAAACAGCTGTACTGAGGGAGGCTGCTCCTGGGAGCTGGAGGAATTGCTCACAGGGTTTAAGTTAAGCACAGACATAAGCTGTGTCGGTGATTAAATATCAGACACTTTGTGGAACTGCTCTTCACAGAGTGGAAATTCACTTTCCAACCAAGGGCTAGCACTTAGGAATTGTGCAATAATTAAATGTGATTGAAACTCTTGAAACGTTACACGCTTGCACGGCACACAGCATGTGGGCTGCTGAATCTTTGTACAAGAGTGGATATTGCTGCCAGGATCAACCCCCATCCATGAGAAGGAAAACCAAAAGTAGCCGGCAAGACCCATCTGGGGTACCTGCTAGGAATTAGGGACAGTCACTAAAAAATTTCCCTGCAAAGTCTGCATTTTTCCACAGAAATGGTTTTCAGCAAAAATGGGAATCTTTTTCTAAAATTTTGTCTCAAAGAGGTGCATGATTCTGAAAGAAATAGGTCATCCACAACATTGTACAATTTATAAAATTATTATTCTATGCTGGTCAAAAATGCAAATGAAATATTTCAGCTACTTTTTCTTGGAAGAAACTGGTCTTACTTGAAAATGATTGCCTAAACCATACTTGGCTGTTAATGTCTCTAGCTTGTGTTTGATCCAATTTGGTTTTAATTACATGCACTACTGCAAGTGTTCACACTTGGAAACACCAACATTTGCTTTTTTTGCTAGGTGAAGCTGATGAGTCCATGATACTCCTGCTGTGTGTCCCCCTCCTTGACCTTACAGTGATTGCAGCAAGGTACTGTTGGCCGGGCACTTTTGCAGCACCAGGGCCATCACAGACCCATCAGCTTCACCATCAGTTCATGGTTATTCAGCCTGACCGAGGCCATCGCCTGCGGCTCTGCAGATGGGCAAGCCGCTAGCCTGGTTCATACCAGCTATTGTTTGGCTTCTCCCTGTGCAAAGTGCAATCCTTTCTCCCGTTTTGCTAGGAAGACTTTGCCTCGGGAATCTGCGTGCTTGGCTGCTCCACGGCCAGCTGGTTTTCAAAGACACAGCACAGCTTGTAATTTTCTATGAGCTTGGCTTGAAAATACTCCCTGTCCTTCTTATGCCAAATGTCTGTGGCAATGTAGGTGTTGTAGGGGTTGTGGGAGTCCTCCAGCCTTCTGGCACGGATGTTGGTCAGCATGACTCCCGCTGTGAAGAAGCCAAAGAGGCCAAGCATCAGCAGCACATAGATGATTTCCAGGTTGCTGCTGGAACTTCTGACCTGGGAAGGTGCAGAGCTATTTGTCTGCTCCAGGTAGTCTTGAAGCAGCTTGGAGAGGAGTGAATTCAGGACCGTGTCATTAGACAGCACCAACATCTTGTTCTTCTGTCGCTCACACTTCTTTCTTCCTTATTTGTGGTTTTTCTAGAAAAGCATAAAAATCAGGGACATGCCAGATAAATCGTCAGATAAAGATGTGAGTCTCTCTGTCTCCCTTTACTCCTTCCCCTCCTCAGCGAGGAAGCTGCCTCAGGGTTGGAGCAGAGGCAGGGCAGCTGGACCGGCCTAGAGGGACCTCTTCACCCCCTGTTTCCAAGCCAGGCCAGCTCGGCTGAGTCCATCCCCCATAAACACTTGCCTTGCAAACCCTCCTTAGTCCTCACAGACGGTCTGTCGCGTTGCGCACCTGCCCCGGCTGTTGCCCACTCACACGGATACCTCACCCAGGCCTCTCGTGCTGCTATTTAAAACCCATGACTTCTCTCCTGAGCCCCCATAAGGAGTGTCTCACTCTCACTTTGTGACAACTGCTTCTGGCTTTGAAGATTGTTATCATGGTTTCTCTTGGTCCTCTGTCCTCTACTTTCAGCTTAAGGATCGAATTTGGAAATAAAACTTCTGTACCTGAAATCACTCAGTACCTGCAGCAAGCTCCTTCTGTCCAGCCCTGTTGAGGAGTCTTGCCTTTCTTCTGCAGCTCTCATGATGATATACACCATGGAAAACTAAGCAACCAAACATCTGACAGAAATGTGTCCCACACTAATTTAATACAACTTCCCAATGGGCATTTGCCCAGGGAGTAGATACAGAGGGAGACTATAGCAACTGCCTACCCAGCAGTGGAAAGGAAAAGCATCTCCTTTCATCCCCACTCCTGCAGGCTGGCAGTTCTCCCCAGGTAGTTCACTGCTTTCTCCTCCAAACTAAATTGCTATGCAACTGGTGTTTTATTGTCTGGTTAGGAGGACTTCCACTGGCACTGCAGGTCAGGAACAGGGCAGGAGATGGTAACACCAAGAAGCACCTGAATGTCCAAAGCCTCCCAGCCATAGCACTCTGCATTGACAGTCTTACACAAGAAGCTGAAGGGTCCTTTTCCCTTTTCCAATGTCAGCTGTAAATTACTTAATAAGAGCAATCCTATCAGCACTGCAGTCCCAAAACCTCAGCAGCCAGGTAACATGACTGACAATATCTCACTACAATGCCTAATTTAAATGTCTCTAGAAAATTAAGACAACAGTCTCCCTCTGTTTTTGCCCTTAGCACATCTGAATGAGGTACTGTTATTCAAGGTGACTTCTGTGACAGCAATCTTGTAGGCACATAAGATGGCTGTCAGTGCTTTCTACAGTTTTAAATCTGTGAGAACAGGCCAGCATGTTAGCAAAAGCTTCTCCAGCATACTTACCTTTTGTTGTTTTGTTTCGTTTTAAGAGGTACTATATTATAATAATTTACAATACATCAAGAATGAACCCTTGGGCAGAAAGCCACCAAAAGGCGTAGGCAGCAATTACACCCCTCCACGAGGGCGACATTAATGATGCATAGATGTTGTTCAGGACCTCTGCATGGGAGGGAGTTTAGCTGTGCACACAGCCTCCAGCTGCCAGTAATGACACTGCAGTAGATGAGACATATCTGGAGGCTTCTTTGAATTTTCTGCACCTCATTATGGCATAAATGCTGTAAAAGGAGACACTGAGACAGAGGAGGCGAGAAGAGGACACTGATCTTATGACCTGCTGTCTCTTGTATGAAGAGCAGTTATTTACCCGGTGTGTTCTGTGCTAGCAGGTGCCATTGCGGCCGAATAAAGTACACAATTAATGCAGACCTGAATATGATCAAACATACTCACATAAATTAATTGCTACTGCAACTGCATGTGCTGATTTTTTAGTCCAAACCCTTTTGCTAGACCTCCCAGCTGTGCTGTCATGGATCTGGGGCTGCATCCCACTGAAAGTCAGACACTCAGCCCAGCATGATGAATTCTATGGAGAAAACCCTGTTCTCCTCACCATGCAATCCTGGGGGACACGAGCGGCACCAGCCCACACCAGATGACATCAGACTCCTTCCCCTGGCAAGTAGGTGACCACTGGGAGCCCAGGTCAAGCTCCTGTGGGCTCAGGCTCACCCTGCTCCAAGCAAGCAGTTCCTGCCAGGAGGTGCCTCAGCAGCAGGAAAAATGAGCACCCATGAGAGTATGCCTTCGTATTTTGCTTTAAATAGAGCCAAGCCTGGGGGTGGCAGAGGGAGACAAAAATCCCTGGTACAAAACAATATTCTGATCCAATTTATTTCTTCAGTTGCATGAGTCAAAGCCACAGGAAATAACATCTTGGCAGTTTGGGCTTAATAGTTAAAATCTATTCACATTTCACAGCTGTGTTCAGATCCTTTAAGAAGGAAAGGAAGAGAAAAAGATATTAAAACCTTTATCTGAGATTACTCCTCCTAAACATGTAGAACGTGTCAACGCTGTAAAATGTAAAACCATTTGCAAATCATTGCAATAACTTTCAGACAAAACAAAGAAGAATTTCACTGCATCTCAACTTTTTCTGGAAAGATAGGCAATCCTTTCTCATAATAATGACCAGTAGCACTGACAACACTTCTGGTGCTGATGAATTGACATTTTGAGGCTGAATATCCTCAGCTACCTCCCCATATTCTTTCGGGAGGTTTCTGAGGGTTGCAAGGTATTGCCCACTTCTGGGTTGCTTGCATGCCGGCTGGGCTGGAAGCTGGCAGGGAGCTGAGTGGCCCCATCTCCGTAACCACATCAGATGGCAATAACAGGAGAGGTTAAGGGAGGGAGAGGGCACACTCCTGTTCCCCAGGAAATCTCCTCCTGAAATCTCAGCAAGCCTGAAGGCCTCGTCTGCCACTGCACGAGCCATTTGCAACTCCACTAAAATCCATACTGGGACCGGTTTAGAGCTGAAGTACACAGGACTGGGAAGAGCCACCTGTGTCACTGGCCTACTCCACGACTGATGGTCACACCTCACTGTCCCAAAAACTCTGTTTTGACCACAACCAGAGTGGTTTTCTCGTCCCTGCCGCTCTCCCCAGATGACTGCTGATGGGCTGCAAATCACGACCACTGCCCCAGTCCCCTTGTGGAGCTCCCCTGAGGAGCTCTGGGTGAAATCGTGCCCAGCCCAAAATCAGTATCCCAGTTTACCTGGGTTGCATCCTGGTAAGCCAGGACCTTGTCTGAGGGGGGGGATGGGGGGGGTGGGCCCCATCCCACGCCATCCCACAGGAGGTTTCAGTGCATGCTGGGGGGTCACCCCTCCTACCTCTTTTGAGGGGACAAGCACTGAGCAGTGAACTGCCTGTGTTAAAAGTGACCTGGGGCAAAACTTAACAGTTCAGCAACTTTTTCGCTGGCCAGGGATTCAGAGGGCATTCCCTCAGGTTGGCAGCAGCCTGGGCCATATCCTGCTCTCAGGTGCATTGCTGCTTCTCCATCCATTACACTAAATGCAGGTGACATGGATCTCCAAAGAAAAAGTGATGGGCTCAGTGCAGGTTGCCTCCCAATGCATGCAGCTGTACTGCTGGCATTGCCCAAGATCATCTTCCATTAGGTGTCCTGAACTGCTGTCCCATCGGCCATGGTCTGTGGTGCCAAGCAGCACCACTGGAGCCCTTGCTCACTGAGCCCTTGCTCACTGAGCCTTATCCCTTTCCTCTCTGCCACCTGCCGCTTGCCCTCTCTTTCTCATGCCATGGATTTCTTGTGAGCAATGGAGAGGGACCTCCTCTGAGCGATGTCTTCATGGAGAGGGTGGGTTTAGGATGACAGACAAGATGCCACAGGCAGGTTTCCAGAGTTGGGGAATGGTCAAAAGCAGGACTCTAGGAGACAGACCTACACCATAAATGTCTCTATGTGGCCAGATGGGTACGACCCACAGTTTCTACAGTCAGTGGAGGGAGGAAAAGCATCTGAAGGCAGCTTAACCACCCCTTCCAAAGCACTTTAAAACATTGCTTATAAATGAACAAGTTCTCAGCAGGTGTAAAAACATGCATTCAATCTAACTTCAGTGAAGTGGTTGAGTCTCCATCCGTGGAGGTATTTAAAGAACGGATAGATACGGTGCTTGACGACATGGTATAGATGAACTTGGCAGTGATAGGTTGACGGTTGGACTCGATGATCTTAAGGGTCTTTTCCAACCTTGACGATTCTATGATTCTATGAAGATCTCTCCTCTGAGCGATGTCTTCATGGAGAGGGTGGGTTTAGGATGACAGACAAGATGCCACAGGCAGGTTTCCAGAGTTGGGGAATGGTCAAAAGCAGGACTCTAGGAGACAGACCTACACCATAAATGTCTCTATGTGGCCAGATGGGTACGACCCACAGTTTCTACAGTCAGTGGAGGGAGGAAAAGCATCTGAAGGCAGCTTAACCACCCCTTCCAAAGCACTTTAAAACATTGCTTATAAATGAACAAGTTCTCAGCAGGTGTAAAAACATGCATTCAATCTAACTTCAGTGAAGTGGTTGAGTCTCCATCCGTGGAGGTATTTAAAGAACGGATAGATACGGTGCTTGACGACATGGTATAGATGAACTTGGCAGTGATAGGTTGACGGTTGGACTCGATGATCTTAAGGGTCTTTTCCAACCTTGACGATTCTATGATTCTATGAAGATCTGAGGATCATAGACAGTGTTTGCTTTCTCAGTCTGCTGGCCCGTATTGCTTGGGATGCTTTCAACCTGGACATTGCTCTATGCAAAAGTTTCCCCAGGGATGTACTTACACAGGTGAGCTGTTCCTTGCAGTGGTAACACTCCACTGGTGGGAAAAAAAACAACCCAAACCCACCAGCCCCTTCCCTCATACACCCCAAAGGCCCCTGTGTAGAGAAGATTGAGTCCTACTCTGCTTATTCCTAAGCACACCAGAGTCTGTTCACACTGTTCAACCCCTCAACACCTCCCACCATCCCTATAGGAGTACCTGCTGCTCCCCTAAATCTCCATGGCTTGGGCAAGAGCCATGGGGCACAGCTGAGGGAAGGAAAGGGAGACCGATTAGAGATGGAAAGCTGCT